CCTTTTTTGGCTCTTCTTCATCTAGCTCTTCCCATGTTGCCATGAAATTCTTTTTGAACCTGTTTATGAAAATATCTTTCTAATAACTTCCTTTTCTATGAGTGTCCTTCAAAGGTTCAAGACAATCACTTCTGAAGTGGCCTGGTTTGTTGAAGTTGTAGTAGGTCATGTCTTCATCTTTGAAGCTAATCCTTTTGTTGCTTTTGGGAAATATCCTGCTTCTTCTGGCCATTTGCTGAATTCCTCTAATGAAGCATGCCATGCCTTCATCATCAGATCTTCCATCATATTCTTCTTCAGACGATTCATCATTTACTGATTTTAGACGATCTTCTGGACTTGTCACGAGATTTTTCAGAGGCAGATCTCAATGCGAGAGACTTAAACTTGTTTGAAGTTTCATCTCCATTAATTTTCATCTCATGACTTTGAAGATTGTTGATTATACTTTCAAGAGACAACATATGCAGATCTTTAGTTTCTTGAATAGCTGTTACTTTAGGTCTAAACTTCTGAGGAAAACTTCTCATAATTTTCTTCACATGATCAGCTATTAAGTAGCTTTTGTTTAGCACTTGAAAGTCTGAGACAAGAATCTAAAACCTAGAGAACATGGTTTCAATATCCCCATCTTCCTTCATTTTGAATAACTCATACTTCTATATTAACAAGCCAGCTTTGGCTTCTTTGACTTGTTAATTCCCTTGATATATAGAACACAGAGATTCAAAGATAGTCTTTGCATAAGACTTATCAATGATTTTCAAATACTCAGCATGTGGAAATGCATCAACCAGGATACCTCTGACTCTATGATGTTTTCTGTAGATTTTCTTTTGAGCAGGATTTAGAGTTTTTTTGTCAACAACCATACAAACACTGTCTACATGAATGTTAATGACATCTTCAAGAATATCCCATAGCTCATCATTGAGTCCAATGATATACGTATATATCTTGCTTTTCCATCATTCAAATTCAGTAGAGTCGCCACTTAATACAAGAGGTTTAACATTGTAATGATTTCTATTAGAGATATTGTAATCATAGGGAATCCCCCTTGAGGTACTAGGATTAGTAACCTCAGGATCCATATTTTCCTCGTTGGATCTTTGACTGTACCACTGTTAAGTGTTACACACAGACCTTGCTCTGATGCCAACTGAAGGTGAGAAAAATACACAAGAAGGGGGGAGGGTTGAATTGTGTTTTGCAAAAATTAGATTTACTTCTAAACCAGAGTTCAGATTCTAAAATCTAAGTTCAGAACCTGATAGGGTGCAACAGAAATAGAAACAGAAGTAAAGTAAAAATAGCAAAGAACACACATTAGTTATCCTAGTTCCTCTCCCAACTGAGAGTACTCCAGTCCCCTTTCTAAGCAAGAAATTTTCCACTATAATCAACCAATTTACACTTGCTTGTACACACTTGTATAAGACTTTTCTTTTTGCTCAGACCACTTGTCAAAGAGTTCCCTTGCTTAAAGCTTGTGTCTAAGAATTCCCTCTGCTCAATCATCTCCTGACCGAGACTTATCTTGCTTAGACCACCTGTCTAAAACTTTACCTTGCTTGGAGCTTGTGTCTAAGACTTTCGTCTTCTTAGAGCTCATGTCCAAGACTTCACCTTGCTTAACCAGCTTCTGATTAATACTTTTATTTGCTTAGAGCTCCTATTTAAGACTTCACCTTGCTCAACCCTACAGCAAGAGACTTATATCTAAACAGATAGTTTAGAGAAGGAATAACTTACAACAACACGTGATAAATATCAAAGGTGTTCAAAATAATACAACATACTTTTACTAAGATTCTTAATCAACACAAGAGTAAGAGCTCTTAACAGACTCAACTTTTTGATAGTAGTGCGTGCATTCCTCAGTTGTATTTGCAGCGTTATTTCTTAGTTGATCTTCAATTCTTCACCTGCTTTTTATAGCCAAAGAAAATAAATTCGTTGGAGCATCTTCAACGGCTACAAACAAACCAAATCTTCTAGTACATCTTACTTTCCAATAAAGCAAGTGTTGGAACTTTCAGTCACAAGAATATCCACAAAACAAGGCCTTTGTCCGGGGGATACAACTATGATTCAAGTATAACACAGCCTGTAGAAGATAATGTCAATAAATCTTGAGTCCCGTGTTAGCAGAACTGACTTGACATTACTCAACATCAGAGGCAGCATAACACGCTTCTGAGATGGAGTATACTAGCTGCTGCTTTTCTTATCATACTTCCTAGAGAGAGCATGATCAGAGTCGAACCAAAGTTGTTTCAGTGTCAAAACTAGTTCCATCAAGTAAATATAATTTTGCACACACAAACTAGCTAGTTAGAAATCCTAATTGATTTTCAAATGCTTTGTTATCATCAAAACCTTGAAGGATGCATGGTATGAACCAAACTTATTTCAACAAAGTGAACCAATTTTTCAAAAAACGGTTCGGAGATGTATCTCAGCAAGTGTCCCAAATTGATATTTGTTAGGCCATTTATACTAAGGGTATATTAACACCGTGCTAATTACACTAATGTTATTTAACGTTGTCATATATAAATTCAAATCCGAACATTAATCAATTAATCAGAAATGTTAGCACGATACATAATTTGTTTAGAAAATACAATCGTTACCAAAATATAAATATAAATAAACTACTGTGCATTTCTAAATCCCCCTGTTTCTCCTATTCTGCCTGTACCCCAAGGCATTTCGTGCCTTGAGTAAGATGGTTTGGACAGCGGCCATACCAGAATTGCCTTCCGTAAAATCTCTTCTCTCTATGGCATCTCTCATAATCGTCGTAATATGCTAACAGACCGGCGAGAGGTCCGTTGTATGGTTATCCCTAGTCCGTTCTTCTTCCAATGTCTCTCGATGAGTTGGTATAGGTGGTGCTACTGCGACATAGAGTGTCATGTAAGAATGTGATACTCGATATAGCCATCGTATGTAACCCTGTGCATAAGCCCATGGATCAGGAGCTAGCATACTGCGTGCGTCAACTGGAACTAGATGATTATAGAAATCATCGAGTATGACATCAAGATCTCTGTGGCGAAATGAGAAGATACAGAGGGAGGTCTTGAAATAATATGAAGAAACCCAAACCGACGTATAACGTGCTCATGCATATGTGGATACATCAGGCGCGACTGACAAGCTAAAAATCTAGAGTACAAGGCTATGTCGTCCAAGGGGTGCGTCTGACGCTGACCTCAGTACAGGCATATGCCATCTTCTATAGTTTGGTTAATAGACACCTGAAACGGCTCTATCGCATGATTCCCTCTGTATGTGGAAAAAGCACAAGCACGTGGTCGGTCCTTAGTGTAGTCCATGTTAGGTTCCCAGTCGGATATGCAAGGAAAATGAGAGATGATCCATACCTCAAAAGTTGTTCAAATAAAATATTAGTAACAAGTGTAACACATGTGTTATAAAAATAATAGTAACAGTAAATGTTGCAAATATATTATCGTAAACATCACGCTGTCATCTGTCTTGTCTTTCAAAGACATGTTTCACCTAGTTTGGAGTATAAATAAACCAAACACGCACCCTCAATTGTACTCGTGGATCCACTCTAAGTCGATGAAGTATGTCAGGTAGACTACATCAATGTAGGTTGTACTTTTGTCCATAAATATTGTCGTGTCAACCAAGTATAAGAAGTATAACCTCAATGCACATTGTTTGTGGAACAAAATTTGTTCATCATCACCTTAGGCCTCCGCTAACGCAACTAGATGGTATTTATACAATTTCTCCAGGTATAAAAATAAAGAATGAGTGCCTCTTGTGACATCAAGCTCCCCTTGGGCCTCACCTGGGTCATTTCTCAAATAATTCCCCATCATTTCAAGTGCCTCAAATTTGTTGACCCGGGAATGATTTAGTAATATTCCTCTAATTAAAAGATGTAAAAGGCTTTAGATATCATCAAGGGTGATGGACATCTCACTATGAGGGATGTGGAAAGATGATGTCTCCTTGTGTCAGCTCTCCATAAAAGCTGCCAACATGCCATGGTAATGGTCTTGTATCCACTGGCGCATAAACCTGTCAGTCTAGAGTAACTAACTTTATTTTGAAACCACACATTTTCATTCTATCCCAGGTTCAAAATCTTCTTGGCATGGTTTACCGATTTTATCATTTCACACTCATGTAAAAATAAATATATCAACATCACTCGCAAATCAATTAGTATGAAATATATGTAACGTAAAAGTAAATAAATATACTTTTCCTTCCAACACATGCCTAGTAGCATGTTTTGCATAGAGAGGAAATAAAAAGGTGTTATAAGAGCCTCCTAGTAAACTATCAAGAACGGGAGCAACAACAACAAGTTCCTCCTATTGAAGTTTAGGGGCTTCATAAGCTAGAGGGTCAACAGGAGACACGTGCTCTTGGAAGGGTCGAAGTCAAAGACATGTGATCTTGTGAAATATGAGACACGTGACTATGTGAAGTCGACGCTTATGCGTCAAACGAACTAGCACTAACTCTTGGCATCATGCGAATTATTTTCTTCCTATGAGCGGGCGCATGTTTGGATATACGAGTATGAGAAACTTATCGATTGAGAGGTGTTCTGCAAAAACTCGAATGAAGTGAATGGAATGTACTTAAATGAAGAAGAAAGAGGAAAGGGTCTGACGCGAGTTATGTTAATTAAAACCTATTCGGAGATGCATCTCCGTAAAAGCATATAACACTGAGTTTTAAAATATGGAATATTTCGGAGATAGATCTCCGGACATATTTTTGGGCAACATGTAGTGACTCACTCAGAAAAGCGTTAGATGTGTGTAATTTAAATGCGTGCAAAGATACATCTTTAATATTTATGGACTTTTGTGACTTTTTATCGTGGTAATCTTATAAGCAAATTCATGGGGGTGATTATCGTTATAACTTATAATCATTAATTGTTTGAATTGTACAATAGAGAGAATCATCATCATCATCCAGCAAGAGAAGAGAAAATGAGTAGTTGCACCCAACACATGGTGATCGGTATCCTAAGAAAAAACTCAAACAAAACAGTTTCAGTTTCAACACGACATGCAAAACAACTCCACGCACATGTCCTAAAAATCAAAGGAATCTCCCATGAAGACAACATCCTCGTACTCTCACTCTACTCCAACCTCAACCTCTTACACTATTCCACCAACCTCTTCAATTCTCTTCCTTCTCCTCCTCCACCTCTCGCATGGTCTTCCCTTATCAAATGCTACACTTCTCACTCCCTTCTCCACCTTTCCTTCTCCTCCTTCAACTCCATGCGCGCTCTCTCTGTTCCACCCAATCGCCATGTTTTCCCTTCTCTCATCAAAGCTTCCACTCTTTTGAAACACGCTAAACTCGCTTATTCTCTTCACGCTTCCACCGTTCGTCTTGGTCTCGATTCTGATCTCTATGTTGCCAATGCACTCATTAATATGTACGCTAAATTTCATAGTTTTTCTGTTAATGCAAATGCAGGCAACGTGTTTGATATATTACCTCTGAGAGGGAAATCTGAGATTCATAGTGTAAGGAAGGTTTTTGATATGATGCCTGTTAGGGACGTTGTTTCGTGGAATACTGTTATTGCAGGGTATGCTCAAAACGGGATGTTTGTTGAATCATTGGACATGGTTAGAGAGATGGGGAAGAATGGTAATTTGAAGCCGGACTCATTCACTCTTTCGAGTATTCTTCCTGTTTTCGCTGAGCATGTTGATGTTTGTAGAGGGAAAGAGATTCATGGATATGCTGTAAGAAATGGGTTTGATGGGGATGTTTACATTGGAAGTAGCTTGGTTGATATGTATGCAAAGTGTAATAGACTGGAAAATTCACTATGTGCTTTTTACCTCTTGCCACGAAAAGATGCTATTTCATGGAACTCTATCATTGCTGGTTGTGTGCAGAACGGTGAATTTGATTGTGGGCTTGGATTCTTTCGTCAGATGTTGGCGGAAAATGTGAGACCTATGCCTGTTTCTTTCTCTAGTGTTATACCTGCTTGTGCTCATTTGACTGCTTTGAATTTGGGGAAGCAGCTTCATGGATGTATAGTTAGAATTGGTTTTGATGATAATGAGTTTATTGCTAGCTCTCTTGTGGACATGTATGCAAAATGTGGTAACATTAAGATGGCTAGATGTGTTTTTGATAGAACGGAGAAACGGGATATGGTGGCGTGGACTGCCATCATTATGGGATGCGCAATGCACGGGCATGCCCTCGACGCGGTTTCCTTGTTCGAAAACATGTTGGAGGATGGAGTGAGGCCTTGCTACGTGGCATTCATGGCTGTTTTAACTGCATGTAGTCATGCTGGATTGGTAGATGAATCTTGGAGGTATTTTAACAGTATGGAGAGAGATTTTGGCATTGCTCCTGGTTTGGAGCACTATGCTGCCGTTGCTGACCTGCTTGGTAGAGCTGGAAGATTAGAAGAAGCTTATGATTTCATTTCTAACATGGGAGTACAACCAACTGGGAGTGTGTGGTCAACACTGTTGGCTGCATGCAGAGCTCATAAGAGTGTTGAATTAGCCGAAAAGGTTGTTGACAGGTTGCTTTTGATTGACCCTGAAAACATGGGGGCTTATGTTTTAATGTCAAATATCTATTCAGCTGCACGGAGATGGAAAGATGCTGCAAGATTGAGAATACAAATGAGAAAAAAGGGCTTGAAGAAGACTCCTGCTTGCAGCTGGATTGAGGTTGGAAAAGAGGTGCATACTTTTATGGCTGGAGATAAATCACATCCTTATTATGAAAAAATAAACGAGGCATTGAATGTTTTGTTGGAACAAATGGAGAAAGAAGGTTATGTCCTTGACACAAATGAGGTGCTCCATGATGTTGATGAGGAACATAAACGCGAGTTGTTACATAACCACAGTGAAAGACTTGCCATAACATTTGGCATCATTAGCACTACTGCTGGTACCACAATCAGAGTAATAAAGAACATTCGTGTGTGCACGGACTGCCACACTGCAATTAAATTTATAGCAAAGATTGTGGGAAGGGAAATCGTCGTGAGGGATAACAGTCGATTTCACCATTTCAAGAATGGGTCTTGTTCATGTGGTGATTATTGGTGAAGTAACAGTTATGATTAGAAAGCCTGTCTTTTTAAACCTAACCACTGGGTTGTTGGTAATAACTGAGCATGTAAACACTAACTGTGAGGTGCATTATGAAAGCAAAGAAACTAAAGTCTGGACTAAATATGAGTTAGGATACTGGCTGTGCTGCAGTAAGATTGTCGTCTCAAATTGATGAAGAGAGGGTTTGGATCCTGATTACACATTGTCTGATTTCATCGATTTGCTACCTTCTAAACAACGCTGTAGTTTTTGCTTCCAGATGAGCCAAACACTTCTGCCAGAGACAGGGTAACATTCTGCAGATATTCTTTTCAGTGTAGTTATTGTTGAAGTATTTTTTTTTTTTATGTTGCTGACAAAATGTTATGTGATATATACTTTGTTACATCCTTTTGATGACTCGAAAGCTTTCCCTTGATCCTAGTCCTTAATATGAAATTCAATTTTCAGATCTTGGTGGATCAGCAATCACAAAGGATGATGCAGGCAGGTTTTGAGGGTCAATGTTGTGACAAAACAACAACCAATTCTTATTTCACTAATTGAAATCAGTTACATGAATCAACTTTCACCATAAAAATATAACAGAAGTAACTTAAAATACCTTCTCACGGTTATTTGGGTCTATGATCTTCTACATGTTTTTCTCTCATGGTTAGTTGGATCTATGATCTTCTGCAAATTCAAATTGCTTGGAGAGGGAATTTTAAGGCATAAGTTCAGCCTAGACTGGTTTTTAATGGTTTATACAGAACCACATATATTATGGATCTTTAAATCTTTAAATACTTTTAAGATTCCATCTTATTCTGAAGTCTTCTGTATAATGAACTCTTATCCTTTCAGCTTTCATTGGTTTCTGATCTGTATGACCAAAACCTCTGGCCATATACGTTTTATTTTGATCAAACCTGCTATGTATACATACTGTAACTCATTGTTAAATCTATAAATCATTTCATTTAGAGCAACCTTTATTTTGGTGTTCACCCTCTGGTTTCTGAAATTTGATAAAAAAAACTGTCATCTATGATTCGAATTCAGGTTTTCCCAAACGATTCATCTTAAGGTAAAGTTCATTAACAGCTGAAGTCCATCTTTTGCCTAGGAACATGGTCAATTCAATTTTCAAATGAATAACTTTCTAGGGAATGAGAAAATCCCAAACAACCAGTGGTATCAAGTGGATTAAGGTAATGCAAAGCAGGGTTCACAATGAGAAACATATTTACAAGTTTTCCCAAGACAAATTGAGAAGTTGAGCCAAAATACAGAACCCATAACTATAATAATTTACATGGAATATCCAGGAAAGTAAACATTTCAATTTTCACCATTATCTTTACCATGCCTAAAATAAAACTGTTTGGTCTGAAACAGAGGCTAAACCCTGCACCATTCTCACTATATCAGTAGTATCATCCAGATAGTACTTTGCCTTACTGGGTTTTCTACCAACAGTGCATGCAAATACTTCAGCCCTGGGTGCCATGGAAGGACCGGAGCTAGTGATTACCTCAAACATGTCTTCATCAGATCGGTCGTCTCCAATACACAAGACAAAATCAGGTGACATTCCCTTTTCTTGCATGGTCGAAAGTAGGCGTTTAGCCACAAGCCCCTTGTTCACACCCTGCAAGTGTATATGTATGTTAGTATTAGATTAACTACATGCCCGTGTTGGATTGGATTAGGGGACTTCAGAATATTCAACTTAAATAAGTGCTTATTCAATAAGTGATTATCGAATAACTTGTATATAACTTGTCTGTTTCTATAATCAAGCAGAAATTAGTTTAAGGTCTGCAAATTTGCATAAGCTGAAAACAGCAGTTTGCTTATGGATCCTAAGTTGTTTTTGTAAGTTCTTATAAACATTTATGCAAGTGCAGATGCCATATAATAAGCTTAAACAGAATCAAATACACAGAAAGAATATATCACTAGTATTCGACAAACGTTATATGCACCTGTGGTTTAACCTCTATATTATTCAGGCTACTCTTCACTGTTACTGGTTCATTTGCAAGCACACTTTCAAGATGATTAAGAAGTTCTTTAGCCTGGCACGATCCAAAATCTGGATCTGCGTCCTCGTAGCACCAAACAAGTGCAGTCTCTTTATCTTCAATTGTGGATCCATCTGTTGTTTCGGTATAAAGCTTCATCACAGGCTCAGCAATTTGTTTCCAACTGGAGTCTGTTACAGGTCCACAGGTTTCCCATTCTGCATCCCGCTTAAGTCTGAAATCCATAAAGCCAACCATAAGTTATAATCTAACAGAAGCATCATAGATTGTCTGCATACACAAAATTTCATGCAGCCAGCACATCGACAGCCTTTAGATAGAGTCAAATCTGGATCGATATTGATCCAACAGTAATCAATGTGCTAACTGCGTGGAATTTGTGACTACCAAGGTCAAAAATGCCAAGCAATTTACCTTAAAAAGTAACCGTGTTCAGCAGCAATACCCAGATTTTCACAAGGAGAAAACCACTCAGCAAGCTTCGTTCGGCCTTTAGCACTGACGAGAAACACCATGTTGTTCTCATCTTTACACAAACTATTAAGCATTTTAATGGAATTACTGGTTGGGCTCTTATCAATGGAAGCCTGAGGCATTAGTGTACCATCATAATCTAGAAGGATCGCCCTAGTTTTTGTCCGCTTGTAAGCCGAAACTATGTGCTCCATTGATAGCTTTTTGAAGTTTGGATCAAGTGCTACAACTCTAAAACTCAATCCAAAACCAATTCCCCACCACCTTCTCCTTACATGATCACTACAAGTCCTTTCCAAATCCTGCAAGAAGCTACGAGCCCAATAACCGACATCATGAGTACTAACATATCGATAATGCTTCTCGTGCCTAAGCTGTTTCTCTGAATCAGCCATTTCCAAAGCCAAGTCCATTGCATCTGCGACTGCATCAATATTCCATGGATTCACTCTGATAGCTCCGCTTAACGACGGTGAACAACCAATAAACTCGGACACAACCAACATGCTTTTCTTAAGAGAAGAACCTATTCCCAAAACTTTATCCAATTTTTCAGTTCCTTGACGACTGATTATATATTCATAAGGTATCAGATTCATTCCGTCCCTAACCGCAGTCACTAAACAACACTCGGCCACAACATAATATGCAACTTTTTCATAAAACCTTAACGGCTCCTCAATCAGAATGACAGGATCATAACCAGGTTTACCAAATGCTTCATTAATCCGCTTCGCCGTCGCCTTAGTATCCTCTTGAACTTCCTTCACATCCCTCCCTTTCCCTCTTGCAGGATTGGCTATCTGAACTAACACAACCTTTCCATGCCACTCAGGATGCTGAATAAGAAGCTGCTCCATGGCTAATAGCTTCAAACTTATCCCTTTGAAGATATCCATGTCATCCACACCAAGTAACATTATCTTTCCATTATCAGAAAACTGTCTTATGAGCTCAGAAACTTTCTCTTCAGTCTTTGATAAGCTCAGAACTGATTGAAGCTGGCCCATGTGTATGCCAACAGGAAGAATCTTGATACTAACTGTCCTACCATAATATTCAATCCCAATATTCCCCCTTTTAGATTCATAGGTAAGACCAAGCAACCTACTACAACATGATAGAAAATGTCTTGCATAATCAAAAGTATGGAAACCAATCAAATCAGAATTCAAAAGGGCTCTCAAAAGCTCTTCCCTAATAGGCAATGTCTTGTAAATTTCTGATGAAGGAAAAGGACTATGTAGAAAAAATCCAAGTTTCACTCTATTAAACCTTTTCCTCAAGAAAGTTGGCAAAACCATGAGATGATAATCATGAATCCAAACATAATCATCTTCAGGGTTAATCACTTCCATAATCCTATCAGCAAATATCTTATTCACTGATACATAAGCCTGCCACAGTGACCTATTGAACCTACCACCAAGGTCTGGTGACAAAGGCAACATGTAATGAAACAGTGGCCATAACTGTTGCTTGCAAAAGCCATGATAATACCTTGTAAACATATCACCAGGGAGAAAAACTGGAACACATTTAAAGCTCTCAAGTAGTATCTGCGAAACCTCATCTTGTTCATTCAGATGAACATCTTCCTTAAGACAACCAACATAAATAACCTCAATATCATCATCTCCCAACCCATCTTTGAGTTGAAGCAGAAGTGAATTCTCATCCCAACTGAAAAACCAATTACTCCTGTTATTACCACCACCATCTAGCTTCCTCTGAGCCTTTATAGGTAACTGATTAGCCACAATTATGATCCTTTCTCTTTGAACAGATGAAGAAGAAGGATCAGAACACACACTCTCCAAAGGGTCGTCATCATCAACATCAGATATCAAACCAGCAACAGTCATAATCCTAGGAATTCTCCTATTAATCTGTTCAAAAGTCGGTGACTCACCAGAAGCTAGCTCTAGTAGATTTGAATAAGATCTTGAAACCATTTTTCTCACTCAAAAAACAAAGTCCAAAATCAACACAACATAAACATTGTTCCACACATATAATATAACAGAAAAAAAAAATCCAATCTTGCAACCACTATCACCACCGTTTCATCTCATCTTACAAACAAAGAGTGTGTATGAGATGACAAAGACAAAAAGAAAAGATTTTGAGTTATGGGTCAGATAGATAATAGATGATAACACTAGTTCTAAATAAATAAATAAAAAATAACAAAAGTATGAAAAGTGAAGAGGTGAAGGGTGAAACGGTGAATAAGTGATAAGAATAAAGAAAAGAAGAAAGGTTAAAACTTGATTGTAGATAAGGTTAGAGAAAGAGAGAGAGAAGTGGGTGGGAAGAGTGAATGAAAAGATAAAAACAGGAAGGATAGATAGTTGTAATACAGAAGGAAAACAGCTAAGAGAAGAAACAGCAACAAAACAAGAGATTGTTGTTGTCATGAATGGACAGAACTTGTTGTAAATTAAGGAAAGAACAAAGAGAGCCTCTTCTAAAAATAATAAAAATTTC